TCGGTGAAGAAACTTTCCACCTGAGCGCTTTGGTCATAGAAAGTGGAGTAGCCCTTATCCACTGCCCATGTCTGGTGGTGCCTTCGAGCTGGAATAACGACCTGTACCAAGGTTGGAACGATATGAAGCTTGACGTTTGGATGTGATTTACTGTGGCTACGTCTAACGGAATCCTCCTTCAGACCCGCAAAGGCGCAACCGGGGAATGCACACATGTAACCCTTTTGGATCGGGATGCACTGGAGGGGGGCGACCTTGGACTGTGGACGGACAACCCAGTGGCCAACCCCTAAGTCTTCCAGGATGTCGTCGTGGTTGGGAGGCAGCTTACTCTTACTAAGACCCCCATGGACCGTTCGTACATGTTCTTCCACATACTTGCGATGAAGGCCGATTTGACACCCTTGGCAAATAACGACTTTATGGGTTGGATCAATTGCCAGTTGGAGGTGACAGAACTCTGGGGGAATTATGAGGCCGGCCGAACGCAGAACAACACCAGCGCTGTCATGGGGATCGACATCTGCACTCGGGGAGGGCGGCTCACTTGGAATATATGCACTTGGGGAGGGCGGCTCACTTGGAATATATGCACTTGGGGAGGACGGCACGCTCAGAGGAAGGGATGTGCTTGGGGAGGGTGGCAAACTAGGAGGATAGGAGGGGGGAGATGCCCTTGAAGGGGATCTGAGTTCCATTGCCTTCGTCGCCTTGGCTCGTATATGGGGGTGTTTACGCGCCACTTGGGCGCATGGAGTGTGAAAGTTGCAGTCCAATTGGGGACAATGGAATTCATTAGTTTCTATATTACGCGAGATGATGATTTTCCTTCCAGCGGAAATATGCTCTTGGTGGACCTTGGACATATGGAGCTTGCGGGCGCTCTGGTTCTTGAAATCTTCTGCACATTTGGCACACTTGAACCTCCCATCTACAGAAACCACCCTGGAGAGATACGATGAGCGCAAATGAGGGGTAATGATGTTGGCATTGCACTCACTTTTCTTGTCGACGAGCTGAGACATGTTTAGGCATGTTTAGGCTACTCTACGCAACAGAATCAGTGATGGCCGGATATGAGGAAGGGCACATACAAGGTTTGCAAACGAGACGAGCAAGATCTGTTGCGGAATTCAGAACGAATAAGTGGTGGAATTAGCTGAGGTCCACTCCTTACTTAAGTAACATCATCCAAACAACACCGACAACACAATATCGACAATACAAATGATGAAGAACCCAAACAATACAAGCAGTGCCGACAATACAAGCAGTGTCGACAATACCAAAAGTACCGACAATACCGAATGATACAAACAATACAACCAATGCCGACACAGCAAAAACAACGCCGACAATATAAACCGTAGAACGTGTAAACACAAACAATAACACAAACAATACAAACAACAACACAAACAATACAAACAATACAAACAATAACACAAACAATACAAACAATACAAACAATAACAATACCTAACAACAATATCAATAATCAATTTGTCACGGTAAAAAGAGCTAGGCGGAGGTTGTATTGTCGGTATAGTGACGGTGGGTCTCCCGCACATGAGCGATATTGTAGCGGAGTTGACAGAATTTATTTGTTCATTTGATCCGCTTTTGTAGTATTACTGTATTACGAAGTGGCTGGAGGCCTGCCTACGTCTTTTCCCAATTTCTCAGCGCTCATGCCTTCGCGTCGGCACCTTCCAGACTGGCGAATCCTACTTCGCTGCAGCAGGACGGAACTTACGTGTGCACTTCAGACTACCCGTCGGCACCTAAGTTTCTTCTTGCTCTCGCATCGCGCTGCTTTTTCCCAGCCTTTATGTCGTCCTCCCACCTCCTCCCCCGTGTTGCGCCGTCCCATTGCATCCTGTTCTTTTCGTTGTATTACCCTCTGAGCCCACCTCCCTCAGTATCCTCTCGATAAAGTTCTTCCATCATAAGCTTGATCTGGAAGTCCAGATGTGCATCCGCCAAGTAACTCAGCCGCCGATCGATCTCCTTGGGGTCGTACCAATCATGGAGATACAGGCAAGGCCAGGCCAGGGAACTTGGCATATATCCGTTCCAGTAGCGATGTCGCTGTATGCTCCATGCATCCTGTATCCTTTGCAACCATGAGGGAGATACCAGTCGGTCCTCCGATGGGGGATGATGGCAGGCGTGGAGTCCCGTTGAAAAGAAAATTCATTCCATCCATGGCATAGGCTCAAACGAATGCGCGATGAATCATGTCGTGGACGGAATAATTGTGGTAAGCGAATGAGGGGTCTGCTAGGATCTCGGGGTACATTGTATGGTATAATATTGGTGCGCGGTAATTGAGGACTATAAGCGTGAAGCTCAGTCACAGCCAATATGCGTGAAGAATTGAGGAAAAAGAAATGAATTCAAATGAATGAATATATCCGTGGCCTGGCACGGAAATTAGTCTGAAGTAATAGGTGGCTGTCCGGGCGAGTTCCTCACTCGGATGTGGGAATGTGGCTGTGCAAAAAACTCGTCCGGCCTCTTTCCCATAGCACACGGTTTCTCTAACACATAATACTAAAATCCTCCAAACTGTTGATGCGCGACTGTTGACGTCAGAGCTGGACTAGAAGCGTGAAGCTCAGTCTCAGCCGATATGCGTGAAGAACTGAGGGGAAAAGAATTCAATTCAAATGAATGTGGCCTGGCACGGATTAGTCCGAAACAATAGGTGGCTGTCCGGGCGAGTTCGTCGCTCGGACGTGGGAATGTGGCTGTACGAAAACTCGTCCGGCCTACCACTCCAACACAAATGAATCGCCCTATTCGTGAGTACCTCACAAGAAGATTGCTCGTCTGGTGATGATGATGATAACTCTATCTTAATGCCCCGCGGCCTCGTGATGACGTGGCAGTGCGGCTTTCCCATCCTGACACCGTAGCGTACATGGGGGGAATGTCTATACATGATGGATATTCTGGTTGGTATCTTCGGGTGTCATTGTTCCTCGGGGTTTGTGGTGTCCGTGGGTATTGTCGTGTTGTTAAAAGTGAGAAATAAAATAAAAAGCAGTTATGTCTGTCCGTCTATCCCCAGCATCTCCTACTCCGCGTCTGTTCTATGTGCCGCGCGGCCGGGAGTGGTATCCCTTTTCATGTGTCCGTCATCGTTGGTTTTCCGTTTGTCGCCTGTCTTGAACTTTTTAATGAAAAACGTGAGTCTCTATGCCTTTCACTTTGCCAATTAGCATGTTGAACTTCGTCTGGTTCGCATCCTAGTAGGTGTTTATGTCTCTTCGACCTGGGGCGTTCCGTCAGAATGTGTGTCCTCGTCTGTGTCGGTTTCCTGCATTGGCAGGCTCTGCTCTCCGACGTGAGGCTGAAGCGGTGGTAGTATTCTCCTATGTGGGCGTGTCCTGTTCGAAATTGGAGGACTCGGCTGAAGGTTTTTCGGTCGAGTTTTCTGAACCGTTTCGTGGGTCTGAGTTTGGGTGCTAGCTGGTTCGCCGCATAGAAACCCGACCTCGGAGGGTTCGGTGTGTTCGTCGTGTGTCCAGGCTTCTTCCATCTCTCTCTGCGTAGACTTTCTACGTATGAGAGGGATTTAAAGTTCGGTCAAGCTGGTCTGAGTTTGGCCCCTTCCTTTGCTAGTTGGTCGGCTTTCTCGTTCCCTGGTATACCGAGGTGGCCTGGGCACCAGTGCAGTGCGATTTTCGACTCCTCGAAGTCTGTTAGGACTTTGCACATGGTTTTCCTGAAGTCCCTGGCTAACTCCTGTGCCTTACGCGGCTTACTCTGAACGACGCGTTTTAGTGCACCAGTGTTGTCTGCATAAATGACGATGCGGGTGGGTTTAGACGACTTTGCCATATGCGTGGCCTATGGCGCCGAAGCCCGTTTTTATCTTGCCATCTTCCTTGTATCGGGATCCGTCCGAGTATACGAAGAGGGTGTTTGGGTCGTCGAGCTTGAATGAGTTTCTGGGGATTGCTTGTCCGGTAGTAAGGAGAGACGACGGGAGGAAAGGTGCGATGGTCACCATATTGCGTTTTTGCGATGACTGGGATCGTTTGTTCGCTACGATCCCAGGTAACACGGAAGTGGTAGTTATGGACCTGAGTTGGCCTGAGTCAGTCATAACGTCGGCGCTATCTCTTATACATACCTGTACTGAGAAGGTCATGCAGGCGCTTCGAGCTTCCACAAAACAATGGAGAAGGTCTGCTCAGCACGATGCAACCAGGCTCCCTGAGCTGGTGGCTGCATGGCCAAGTACAGCCCCCCTGGGGTGTACCTGTTTGAGCAGAGCGAGACAAGCGCTCAGCACGGCACTGGATCGCCCAATGAATGGTCTGCCGCGACCTTTTTTGTTTTTCTAATAGCGCGGGTCGTGCCGGGCGACCGCTTCTCGCTCTCTGATTGGCTCATTCCAGGGGGATCACGTTAACACCGAGTTTTTTCGGTTCGATGGATACGTAGTGCTTTCGACAAGTTTTCGACAACTGGGAGCAGTGACCACGGCATTGACCACACTCATCCCCGTGGGAACCAATACAACCAAAGTTCAAACGGTCGTCCGGCCAAAGCCGAGGCACGTGATGTGCGCGTCGATCAACGCCAGTGTTCCGAATTTATTGTCATATTGTTATACTATATAACATATATTACATTACAGATACGACTTCAACCCCTGATCGCGGCTCTACGTCCACACGTCCCGGTAAGCGCCCAAAATCTATCGATCCCACCCAGCTTTAACATCGTGTGTAAACGTCGTACTCCATTCCACAGCTCAGGGTTGCCACACACAATCCTTTCCAGCTCTGTCGGCCCCAAAACTCCATTTCCAGTACGTGTTCTCCCTGTTTGCTCTCGGCGTTGCAGCTAACAAAAACTTTCTAGACATCATTGAGGGCTCTTCTCTTCATCTTTAACCGCAGACGACTAGAGGTGCTTCGCGCGTCGCTAGTGAATCACGGTTACCGTGAAGATATCCGACTGACGAGGGCCAGAGGTTGTATTCAACACCGCTGGCGATCACGGTTATTTTGGTCTTCTGGCCCACCCTCTGCAACGCCAACCTCCCGTTCTGATCCCGCGTAGTACACTCGACATTCATACACCCCCCAATCAGCTGTCCTACCCAAACGGTGTATTACATCACGCGGCCGATACCCAACAGCGTTACTCGTGCACGGGCCTGTAAGTCTCACTGCCTGTGGTTAGGCATTCCTGGCACAGCAGCCAACTTTTTTGCATCGCCTATTAACATCAAACGGCACTAACAATCCCACTCGGTGGACATTGTCGCGACCCCTGCCCCGGATCGTGTACTGTCGATTCGTCCAATCTATTAGTGGTCTCGTACTCAGGTTCGGCTTTCTGGACATCATGCACCAAGCGGCGCATACACGACGTGCAAAACGGCGCAATCAGACACGAACCTCAACTTTACCCTTCTGCCACCCTCGACCTTCTGCACCCCCAATTGCGCGCTACCCTTTCATCCAATCCGTGTTAGTGGACTCGTATTCACATTCGCCCGAAACCCTGCGCTTGAGCGACTTGAGAAACGGCGGTGCAATTAGACAAGAACACCGTGCGCTCGCCACGGGCCCACACCGTGTACTCCATACCCCAATCTCACCCGGTTAAATTCCTCGCCACCCTTTGTCCAGTCCGTCTTAGCGAGCCCGTATTCGCATTTCATCGGGATACTACGCGCACCCCATCTGGCGCCCAAGTACTGAGAAAAACGGTACAATTCGACTGGGGCTCCCACCCGACTGGCGTGTGCGCCACTGCATATTTGATAGTTCCAGCGCCATACCACTGCTACACTACCCCCCAATTGCCTTGTTTTTTTTTGGTGGAACCCAACCCCAGTAGCTTTCGCGATACAATGAATGTATTTGGAGTTAGTTTGGGAAATACAAGTTCCCGGTAGGATTAGACCGGATCTGCCACCGTGAGGAAATGCATTATGCACTGGATGTTTTGTCACTGTGTGTTAGACACTGGTCCGGGGTCGGCACCGAAGGTCGCCGTTAGCGGGCCGCTATAGGCCGCAATGGCCGTGATGCCGCGAACAAGGCCCGAGGGTAGGGCATTTGGCCTCAGCGACTCTAAAGGAGCGCAACTCGTTGTGACACGTGACACCCAACCGGCACTGCGGAGTTGTCTGAATTATATTACTTATATTAAATTGTTAACCACCTTGAATTTAAATTTTAAAATTTTGAAAACACCACCCCCATACAATTTCTGAGCATCTGTGCATCATCTCATGAACAGTTTTACCCTTGCACACCACATTGCTTTGTGTATGGATGAGACTATCTCATATAGCGACATCCCAGGTGATCCTACTTTCCAGATGGGAACTTGTCTGTCACTGAATTATCCAGTTTACACTTCCAGTCCTCTGAACAAATTTACAAGGTTAACATACTCCCTGTGCCTATTCATGAGCAGGAACTTGGCACACAAGAAACTTGGAAGACCAAATGGAAAATTTGAATTGCCTTGCACAGCCACCTTGCCTCAGCAAAACTGGCATGACACCCAAACACCCAACCACCAACCGGCTGTGATGGGTGACAGACCCTGAATTTCGACCGGACCAGGAGGTCTCTGTGGCGCATGACCGGTAGTTGGTCATGTGAGTACAGTATTTTCCAAATGATGTATTGTACTGTTCTCAAGCCAAAGGCTGTCAACTTGTTACCATAATAATAGCCATACATTCTCCAGATCATAAACATGTCTCTATTCTATCATCGGACCATTCATCATCCTCATCTGTCTCTGATTCATGTATATAAAATATTTTGGGACGTGGCTTGGAAATTCGAGTCTTCACCCCAATACGATCTCCTGGAGGATAGAATCAGTCAGGATGAAACTCCCCTGGAACTCTACTAGTATTTAAGTAAGTCAGTCCTATCAATCATCTTGAACCTCACTACGTACTCATTCTCTCGAGGAGGCAAAAGGTTCCAGACATGTTCATCCCCAGTTCGCTGGAACAGTTCCTCTACATATTCCCTAACTGATAAGGGTAGCTCCTTTGGAATAACATGTTTGACAGTACGAAGGGGTATTGGGTTTTCGGGTATCTGGATAGTACTTATGAGTCTATTGTTCTGAATCTGATCATTGCATGTGTCCTCACCACAACTTGTTTCTCCCTTAGTTCTTCTTGGGTTTTTTTTTCCCGCAAGAAAAAGGGCCATGAGAAGTGTGATGAAGAGGGCTGTCATTGTTGCGGTAGAGGCCATCTCTCTTTAATGTTGTAGTTTGGTTTGGGGTGATCGCAATCAAAAATTACCCGCTTTTTCCAAGAATTTCTTCTCACGCCAACCTAGTTTATACTCCAAAACGACCATGAGCATAAGCTCAAGCAGACTCATCTTTTTTCAAACATATACTTGCTGGGGTGAATTATGATCAAACTGCTCTGCGCTGGCTTTGGGGTGGGCCTTGGTCGCCTGACGTCGTACTGACAAACTGACACACATTGGACGCCGCTCCGATTCCACCTCTATCCTCGCTCCCACCATTTGGAACCACTACCAGTCCAGGTAGCAGACCCCCTGGGTCTTCTTCACTTCCATGTTACTTGCTTCACATCAACCTACTGGATGGTCACACCAGCACCTCAGTCTCAGCCAAGAATCACTCCCATCTTGAGCGCTGCAGACTTTGACCCCTGGACGTCGTTCCGATGTATGCCGTCCCAGCGGTGGAATAGTAGTGCCCTACTGACGATGCTAAGTACATATATATCGCAGTCTTCGACAACGGAACGCATTGTTGATATCCGGAAGTTGGATTGACAGTTGTGTCCATGTTTTCTATCTCCCATTCAACTACTATTGGATTAGCATTTTGATGGTGTTTTCTTGATGCTGAATCATTTGACATGTAGCCCAACTGCCACACTACTCTCTTTTAAAGGCTACAAGGATGATGTTAGAACCGGGCGGAAACAGACGACTCCGGAGTGGAATCGGAGACTTAGCGTGGAGGGACCTTGGCCTCAGCGACTCAAGCGGAGCGCTGTGCCATTGCTGTTTGTCCATTTGGTCCTTAATTTCACAGTAGGTGAGCAGGAAGTCTCTAGGGGGCATTTCAGGTCGATTTCGGACTAAACCAAAACGAGTATGTACAAGTGCCGATATATATAATGGAAGGGGCAAAAGCACAAGGAAAACAAAGGGTAACCGAATCGGAACGAAGGCGTCCGAACGGGAACAAAGGGTAGAAGGAGCGGAGTGGTACCGAGGGTCATAAGGCAGGACCTGTGATACGTCCGAAAGGAGGTAGGGAGGGCAAGGCCCAGAGGGGCAGGAGGATGAGGGGAAGTGGGGATGATGACTAACTGGCTAGAATAGGAAGAAGCAGTAGTCCAAATAGGGATGAGGGGAAAATGCGAGAAATACATTACAAGCAGCGAGAGTGCCAAAGGCAATCTGCAAAGCTTGGGGGTTGCGGAGCTTATGGAGGTTACGGAGGCAGGGTTGAAAGTCTGAGGGATATTGGCAATGGTGTTTACGTAGTATGAGGTTACCAATGCAATGGACTAAGACCGAGGTGGAGTCAAAGTCCGAGGTAGGGACTATGACGGAGGCTCGGAGCAAGGTATGAGTGGTGTCCAAGTGTGAAGTATGGGACAGTGGTGGAAGGTCGTAACTTGGTGGAAGGGTGGCAGAGGAGTAACAGAGGGAGGAGAGAGGGGAAAGGTAAGGGAGAAGGAGTGGTGGAAAGGAGAGTAGTCAGGTCCGAAGGTGAGTATTGGAGCAGACGGGGGAAGCGTAGGAGGATGACGGGAGGGTGGAGGTGTTGTGAAGGGGGAGCGGAGTAGTAGGAGGGTGGCGAGAGGGGCGGTGTTCGGTCCGAGGTGAGTATCGGAGCGGACGGAGATAGGGTCGGAGAGGTAAGGAGGAGATGTGTTGCCAGGACCGAAGGTGAGTATCGGAACGGCAGCGGTAGGTTATGACTCCGGAGGTGAAGAGGGTGGAGGTCCGGAAGTCGGGTCGGGGTCGGGTATGCACGGATATGACAGATGACGCCAACCCAACCATGGTTAGTTCGCCCACCATCGACCGATCCCGGCCCCTACCATGTCCCCCCTCCCTCTCCTGAGCATGCTGCCGCCCCCAACAATTCCAACAAAGAAGTCTTCGATGCCTCCACATCACACCCCTCCTCCAGAACTCATTCAACGTGCAACTGCACCAACCTTCGGAAGAGAGTCATCTTTACTGGTTCCACCAAATCGTCCTGGCAGTAGCATTCCTCTATTTCAAGCTGATCTACGTCAACCACCTTCAACTGGCCGCTTTAGATCTGCGGCGAATGGAGCAACCAAATCTGGAACACCTAGAACAGGCATGACCCCAAAAGCCAATCACTAACGCAGCTCCCAGTTCCGAGACACCGATCCAATCTGCACCATCAACCAATCCAACAGTTATTCATGCTATCATGCAGACCATGATTGGGGGGAGTTCTTGGATAAGTACACCCGGCGAGTTGTTGGTAAAGGCCATGGCGAGAAACGGCATAAACGGTTCTTTTGGACACATCCCTATACTAGGACTCTGTACTGGAGCTCGGTGGACCCAGGCGCTTCTAGTACAGGTGAATCGACTGCTCAAAGTGGTAAGTTCATTCTGATCTATGCACACAGCTCAGGCTCAAATTCCGCTTTGTTGGACAGCCTACATTGTGTCAGGGCACACACCCTGACTAGCCCGGACCCGGACCCGCGTCCGGACCTGCTTCCACCCGCTGCGCTTCCCACATGCATGCACGCTCCGCGCGCCGCATGCTCCGGACCCGGTTTCTACCCCTTCATGTGACTTCCGGGTATCCCCGGAAGTTTTGCTGATATTGTGGCCACTGTGGGAAGATGAGAAGTTAGCTTCCTTCTCATCTCCTTACCCACAGTAGAGTTGTGCCCTGGACAGGGCTGGTTACACTACAGGCTGTGGACCATAGGGGAGGGTCATGGGGACCTGGGAGTTGTCCCCTGACACATTGACACCATTAAGTCCATTATTGATCCCAATCCCATGCCTCCTACCTCGTGTCCTTGGCGACATTGATGCATATGAGCTTGAAATGTGGAGGTTTACAAACTCACCAGCTAATTTCATCGACAATGATTATGAAGTGCTTGAGGTGCTAGTCAGCAAGGCATTTTCCAATATGGGAGTCAAAAAACTCTTTACAAGGCAGGTAATAGCAGGCTTGAACATCTCAGCTGGAGAGGCACTGCTCATCAAGTTTCCCAGTGCATCAACACTCATCCCGATAAGTAGACACCTGACTTTGTGACAGGCCGAAAGCCACAGACAGAGGACGACAGTGAGCATTCAACACGTTCAAAGCTTCGTCTTCAAGTGCCACAATTAGATCCTCCTGTTCTCGAACTGTACTGTCTCATTCATGGCGATGGCACCAACCATATCTTTCTGGCCAAAATTGCGAGTACAGAGTCTGTCGGCACCCTCAAGGAGATCGTTAGGGAGAAGAATAAGTTCGCTCTCGAACACATGGACGCAAAGACCCTCACACTCTGGAAGGTTTCCATCCCGGTCGATGACAGTCTCAAGGAGAATGTGAAGAAGGTTGAACTTAATGATGAGGAAATGCTATCACCTGTCCATTGACGGTCCTCCATTTTTCCCAATCCACTGCCCCAACTTCATCTACACATTATTATCAAGTTTCCACCCAGCAAGTCCATATCATCCACTAGTCAACGTCCCCTATTATATAAAGGCGACTGTGTCGCTGAAGCCCGCAAGGCATGGGGTTCATCCATTTCACAAGAGGCCCCTTCCTCAGGAGGCCTACCCAAAAAGTTTGTTGCCATCCAGAAAAAGGACAAACCTGCGTTTGCGTTTAATTGCCCCCCAACCGCTGCCGTGACGATACCCATCTCACTATCTCATCCCATATTCAGCCAGTTCCAAGATGACTGTAAAACTTATACACCCACCAAGGAAGACCATGATTTCGCTTTAAAGTTCTCCCATTCTATGTCAAATATTTACGCCAATGAAGGGGACAGGGCTGACCAAGCTCGAAAAGATTTCGCAAGCTATGGTCCCGACTCGTTGCCCACCGGAATTGGCAAGTATTGGACTGATGGAGATCTTCGCTACAAGGGCTTTTGCTTTGCACTCATCAAGGCCAAGGCAGAGCTTTCCACTGGCGGTGCTGAGCCTTTTTTCGAGGCTGCCTGGTACTATAGTGCCTTCATAAGGAACCACTTTGACGAAACCCATTCGCGTCTCCCTTGCTTTATCCTCTACCTTGCTGGTGAGCTTCCACGTTTCTTCTCCCGGATACACCCTAAATTCATGCCCTAGGTGCCCACATTGGCTTTTCCGGCTCCATCTTGACCATTCACCCTCATCTGGAGGTCCTAGCCCCCAAGTTGCTGCTCTTCTATCATGCATCCAACGTTGATATGCGCATGCAAGCTGCCCATTTTTTTGGGGCAACAAAAAATGCGATTCTTGCATTGAATAGTCACTATGAATCCGAACCTCCACATATAACCTCTAACCCAATCCTTACGTTTCTGTATCCTACCAACTTTGATTCCCTGCGCGGTACCACAAAGTATGCATTTGAATACTCATCGCAGCTTGACGAGAAGAGGCTCCTATTTTCTGGCACTGTTGGTGATGAGAAAATATTCACCCATCGATACTCCAAGGATGCACATCTTGCATGCTTCTTGCTTGGTTGTGCACCTGCTTTGAAGTGGTATCAGCACATTGCGGGTGGATGGTATATGGTTGTCATGGCTTTAATTGGGGATGATTATCATGAATTGCAGCATTCAGAGATGAAAGCCTTGTTCAAAGCCGAAATCAAAGAGAAGGTGAACAAAAAGCATTTGTGCATGGTGATATTCGAACCACCAATGTCATGGTGCGGAAAGATGGTAAGCCTGGAATTCTACTAGTCGACTTTGACTGGGCAGGCAAAATTGAGGAAGTGCGATATCCAATGAACATGAATAATGTTGATCTAAAGGAGCAGTTGATGGCAAGCTTATTAAGGCTGACCATGATATTGATATGATAAAGTATATGTTTCAATGAATCTGTCAATTGATAACACCCTATTATTATACACATTGACTCCAGTTTTGAACTCTGAAAAGAGGCCCTCCACTTTAGATGGTCATGTGGATACCGTGTGTGTAATTCTCGATATTTTACTTCCCATAGAGGCTGCCCATTAGGGCGCCAAGGGGAAGGGGCAAGGCCCAAGGCATATTATCATACATTTTTCTATACTCAAGTTCCACATGATTCTAAGCTCCCAGATAACACCAACATCGTTCGCCAATGCCCGGATTCACGACTGAACAATCCAAATTCTTCTGAATTGTGACAGTGGTAGACCGTATCACATGAGCCTATTATGCTGCGAGTGATCCCCTATAGAATGTCTGGGTCCATGCCAATTGAACTCCTAACTCCTGGCCGGTTGTGCCCATGAGAGGCCCCTTTCGGGTAGTGAATAGAAGACTTAGTCATATGATATGAACCTTTTCTATACTCAATGCAATCGGTAGTGGAGAAGTTGGTGATCAAGTGATCATGAGACCGGCTCCTCGGCTTGTTGGCCCGACGCATAAACACATGCCTCTTGAGACTTTGGAGAACTGTGACCTCCCAACAGGTGAGTCGAACCAATGTCCTCTCAATCGGCAAATGCCAGCGAGAGAGTAGATTGGCAGGTGTTACTACTACACCACCACTCCTCCCCACGTGGATACCGTTGATCCATTGTCCATCACTTGAGAGTAGGTGGCTGGACCGTATCCTCTGTTATCCCCATGCCTTTTTCTTGTGATCGCTGTGCTGTAACCACTATCCATTGCACCATATCAGCTGTCAGCCAACAGGGTGTCAGGGCACAGCCCTCTACCCCACACACCCTCAGGTACCCCTTTAGCCACCCTTCTCCCATTCCCCCCTCACTGTTCCACAATGTGTTAGAATGGGGTGAGAGCAGATGATTCTGGAGTGGAACTGGAGACTTAGCAAGGAGGGACCTTGGCCTCAGCAACTCAAGGGAGCACTGTGCCATTGCTGTTTGTCTGTTTGATCCTTAATTTCAGACATAGTGAGGAGGAAGTCTCTAGGGGGCATTTCTAGTTGATTGTAGACTGAGGGTCTGATCAAGTATGTACAAGCACCTGTATATAATAGGGAGATGAAAGCATGGGAAATCAAAGGGGGTCTGAATGGAGACAAAGGGAATAATGGAAGTGGTGTGGTGCCGAGGGTCATGGGTTAGACTCTATGGCACATCCGAAAGGAGGTAGGGAGGGTGAAGCCCAGAGGGGCAGGAGGATGAGGTGAGGTGGGGTTGATGACCAACTGGCTGAATGTAAAGAAGCAGTAGTCCAAATAGGGATGAGGGAGAAGTGTGGAATGTATACTACAAGTGGTGAAAGTGCCGAGATCAGTCCGTGAAGCTTGGAGGTGATGGAGCTTACAGATGGAGTTGGAAGTCCGAAGAATATTGGTGTCACAACCCAACATATCCGTCACTTCCGTCAATGTGTCCTAGTGCCACTTGGCCCGTCCTGCCTGCTATCATCATCATCTGTCCACCCATCTGTCCACCCATCACCCTCTGTCAGGGCACACCCACCTGACCCAGCTCCACCTGGCCCAACCTGACCCGGTACCCTGCTGCCCACCCTTCCTGACCTCCTCTTCCTTTCCCTTCCTCCCTCCTCATTCTTCCCTCCTCACTTTCTCCTTATCTTACTTCTTCTTTATTCTCTCTTTATTCTACATGGACGACTTTCTTTGTATCAATGTACCATTGACCCATCTGCAGCGCACCCACCATGTACCCGGCCCAGGCACCTCAGGCGACTTCCCGCTGTGCCCAGTATGCGTGCCTGCACCGGATGCCCTCAGGATCTCCCACAGTGATGCTCGGGTGGTTATGGCTGTGTGCGAGGGTGACGTGGCACCCATCATGTGATCTAAGCCGCATGTATATAAACAAACCTGAAGTGGGAACCAAAGAAGTAGCCTTCTTCTCAACTTTCCACTTCAGGTAAGTAGTACAATATCTCTCCTTTAATGATAATAACAACTTTCCACTTCAGTCTAAGTGGCCAGGGACCACTGTCCCGCATCAGGCCTGTCAGTACGCATGCCTGATCCGCCCCCTGCCAGGCTCTCAACCCCGGACGTTACACCCAGGCCCCCTCGACCCCGGACAAGTCCCTGACACCCTCATCTGCACTTCCTCCCCCGCACATGTACCTTCCAACCTAGGTTGCCTGCTTCATTGTTGTCTGCTCGCCAGCCAGATGGCTTGCTAGACGGCTGGATGGCCTTTTCTCTTTTGTCCGCATGCGGACTATTGTTCCTCCTTTTGTTCCTTGCTTGCCTTTTGTTGACCAAGTTTGCCGGTATTAACTATTTCTTTCTTCATTCATTAATATCACACTTGATCTGCCACTCCTTCCGGGCCAGTCCTATTTAGTTACTTGTGTTTATAATGCGTGTAGGTTACACCAGATGTACCTCAGTTCATATATCGACTTGGATTCCTCCTCTCCTCATCGTAAGGCTTCTGTCTGAAATTGGGACACCAATGTAAGAACAAAGTGCAGCGCTCCACCCAAGTCACTGAAGCTAAAGTCCCACCCCTCTGACCTTACGAGCCCAGACGACTTTGCGTGCCTTGTGGGTCACCCGGATATGTGTCTGACACGTTCCTGACAATTGGCAATGGTGTCAGGGCCTGGCCTCTGTCCAGGGGTGGCCCTACCTCAGAACTGGACACTTGCGGTGTCCCAGGCAGCCAGGTGCTGGATCCTACCCCAAGCTCCTCAAACTCACTAAGCGGGGATTGAGTTGAGAAGAAGGGTAAGTTTCCCTATTCCCCGCTTGGCTACTATAAAAGGGAAATGTACAGTTTGTAACATGACTAAGGGCAGGAGCCGAGCATGTTCCTGTGATGCAGAAAAGGTGTCACATGGGTTAAGGCGAGTTGCTCGCCTTGACCCACGTGATTTTTCCCACAGGTTCGCATGCGGGCTGTAGTTGTGAAAGGTGTGTAAAGATGGGAGGATGAGGGAAGTGGGGGGAGGTCAGGGAAGGTGGTTCTGGGGTTGTATGGTCAGGTGTGGTTGCCCTGACAAATGATGTTTATGTAGACTGAGGTCACCAATGCAATGGACTTAAGGCAAGGTGGGGTCAAGTCCAAGGTCGGGACCATGATGGGATCTCAGAGCAAAGGCACAAGTGGTGTCCAAGTACAGGGCATGGGACAGCAGTGGAAGGTCATAACTTGGTGGAGGTTGGCAGAAGGGGGATGGAAGGAGAGGAGTGAGGAGAGGAGTGAGGAAGGAGGTGATGTCAGGTCTGAAGGTGGATATTGGAGCAGACAGGGATAGGGTAGGACTCTAGAGGTGGTGAAGTGGAGGGTCTGGGAGTCGAATCAGGATTGGGTATGTATGGATATGACACAATGTCAGGGCACAGACAGTTATCCAGCTGGCCCTGACCCCTATCCAGTACCCATAAGCCGATATCTGCATGTGATTTGCTGTAGTTAGAATGCAGGTTGTATTCAATGTGCTATTTCCGCTATCATGTCATCCCTTACCTGATATCACCCCTGTTTCCACATGACCTACCTTCCTTTCTCATGTCATTCTTCTATCAGTTGCCATGTTATCTCCATTGTAACTGCACTCTCATGGTTAGCAGTAATCATGTATATCACCAGCTGGGTTGGCTCCCCAGCTTTAACAATGACCAGTTTCTCAGGGCGATTCTCACATGCAAACTGACATGCAGACTCTGACACACAATGGCACACACACACAGACCTGGGAAAGTTCTGGGCGAGCGACTTGCCCAGAAACCATCACAGCCACAACTGTGGGAACTTTCTGGGTGAGCAGCTCGCCCAGAATCTTCCCACAGGGGGTGCTAGTTATGGAAAGTTGGCAAAGAGCTGTCACAACTCAGCAATATCCATAATGTCCACCAACCCACCCTAGTGCCACTGACTATTATCATCATCAGACCATCCAGCCTTCCACCCATTGCAAGATGGGACCATGGTCAGGGGTCGCCACTCTCAGCTGCTCCCTCACCAAAGGGGAAAGAAGAAGGGGGTGGAAAGGGCACCTGGGGTTTTGCACTCACTGTGGCCCCAGTCCCAACTAAAACTGACACTGAGTGGACCTCCCTGGAAGACAAGCTAGCAGTACTGCCTGCAAAGCTGTGTCCCCAAGTCTACAAGCACTCAAACACCACCCAGGCACATGGTACAGAGGGGAGAATCTCTTTTTCATACTATATACATAAACCCAAGTTAAACTGAGAGCAATCTGACGGTGTTAGGGATGGACAGAACAACATAAAACAAAGAAAACAACAGAAAACATGAAAATATATGGGAATGGCCACCCAATCAATAAAGTCCAACGATCTCCACAATGGCTGCACTAAATCTCCCGATCTTGGACTCATTTGACAGTAGCTTTCCAGCGATATCAAGTGCATCCAGATCAGAGAAGAAAGATATGGTGAAAGTACTGAGAAATTGGCCCAATATGGAAACTGAGTGGCAGTGACTGTCAGAACCGTGTGAATCTTTGCCAATGGTAGCCATAGGCGACCGAACGTTGCCCACTAGTGGTAAAGGCATCCTACGCACAACCAAGCTTTAGTGAGGGATAAACCCCACCAATCTTGAGGCCGAGGCTACTTAGGCGAGTGAGCTGGGATTTCGGCTTCAACAACTCGAGGAGGAGCGTTGTGCCTCGTTCTCGACGTGGTCCTGATACTTCAGAAGGTTGGAGGTCTTACGGGGGACAGAGGTAAGCTTAGGGGTTAATTCTAGTTGATTTCGAACTACAGTACAAGCATTAGTTACAAGCTGTATATAAGCGCTAGGGAACTGAATAGGGAATAAGTCGTCAGATCTCGTGGAGATTGCAGGTGGAGAAAAGGAG